AACAGAAAATAAATCTTCTTTCTAGAGGGAAATTAAAGAAGCAACACTTCAATGAGGGCTTATTGATATCTTTAAATGTGATTGTATATATGTTGTGTTACGTTAGCCGTACCTTGTTATGTAAGACAAATATCTATAATATAGTATGAATTCTTGATTCGTGTCGATTTTGTCAAAGAAAATGATAAACACACATCCTTTTAAGTTTTTCACACATTCTTTTTTTATCATGTTCGTTGTTTTCTTTTGATTTATTCAATCCGTTGTTTCGGTCTCAAGCATAATGTTTAGTTGAATACTTTAACTTATATACTGTAATCAAAGATTGGGTCTATGATTCTATTCAAGATACTGCAGACTTTGAAGTTTTAATTTCCTTTCAAATGCACTACTACAGTGGACTTGAAAATAACGAAGTTTCAAACAGTTGATATGACAAAAGGTTAGTTAATTACATCCAATTTAGTCCTAAGTCGTAACACCATCCCACGAAATTAAACCTTAGTTATGAAAAGTATGTTATGAAATATAAATGCGGAGAAAGATCGGGAAAGCGACATGTATCACACCAATAAAAGAGTCGAAAAATAATTCATAATATGTTACTAGTAAGTAGGAGGCTTTAAGTTCGACTTTCGTGAATTATAAGTTTACTACCAGCATATGGTCTAATATCTTTGTGGATAGGGTGTTAAGTTTCTACCCATACGTCACACGTTCGAAACTCCCCTCCCAAATTATTATAATGTTTTCAAACTGTCCCCCTTTCCCCTAATAACAGTGAATTTGAAAAAAAAAAAATGAAAAAAAAGTAATGTACTACCAATTTATTATGGCGATCTATTGTGTAGTTTAGTTTAGATTTCTCACTCTTTAGTGTACAAATATAATGTAGAACCAAGTGTGTATGTAAAATCGCCACTTAGTACTACGGTCTAATGATATTCCTCTTCACTTGTAAGAGTGAGAGGTCATAGCTTCGATTCTCACTAAAGGCAAATTTGAACTACATTATTGCTAGTTCATTGTGAGACTTTGACGAGAATCGAACCACATTATTGCTAGCTCATTGTGAGGCTAAGCCTACCACTTATGTTAATGTAGATAATATCATTTGTATAAAAAAACAAAAAAGAAAAAAAAAAAAAAAAACCAAAACAAAAAGTGTGCATGTAAAATCTTATTGTATGCAACTTTTGGGAATGTCCCATGGAGTGACGGCCAAAGTTCAACGGCACCCACGGGCCGTATGGTGGTTGGCAACCAAAATAATTTCCAATGATGTCGGGGATCTCTACACTTTATCAGCTTAACCCTTTTTTTTTTGGTCTGAATGTTTTATCACCTTAACTCCCGATGAGGTGAGAAAAGAAGCTCAAATGACTGCAAAGCTCAGATAGTGGCTACCCATGTGCATGCAAATCGCAGAAAACGTGTAACATACCAAGACTCATAAAAGCTATAGAGAACGAGAATATAGAGAGGAACGTTTCAGATGTACAACTTTTGGGTTACAAGTGCAACGCATCCATTTTTCTTTCTCTCTCTTTCTTTCTTTACATGAGAGAAGAGAAAAAGAGATAGAGACATGAATGCATTGCACTGGTCACAAGAAAATACATCTTGTCTTTAGAGTTTTGATTCGTTAACTTGACAAGAGAGATAAAGACAAATATGAGTGCATTGCACATGCTCTCTCCTTTTCAAGTCTTCAATTTGCTTATTAATTATATATGCTCATTTCAAGTCTTAGTTCCCACATTGAAACATTCTCTGTAGTAGCAGTTATTTAAGGTAATGCATTTTTCAAACAACATGTATAAGACTTGTACAAATTTTGACTCCTTCATTCTCGTTTTAGTTTGTGTTTGTCAATCTTCCCTTTTGTTAATCACTAAATTTTAGCAACTAAATGTGGATTTCATGTGTATATTAATGCGTTCGATCGTTCTCCAACTTCAAATTTTGGTGCAATCTGACCTCTTAAAACAGGCTACGTACACACCTAATGCCACTATGGGCGCCAATGGGAAATGATGTAGATTGATGGAAGATTCTTGTTTTTATGATTAAGAGATGGTGCCACATGAAATCTGATATAATTTCTTGATCAAATAATTAAAATAATGAGATGATGAGCTACAAATAGAACTATAGGGCATGTGTGTCATATCTATTTATAGATCTTGGCATGCACTAAAACAGTATAATGTTGGTAGGCCGTTCTATTTCCCACCCAACATTACTCAACTCAACTATTATACCTAAAAAAGAATAATAATGATCATTACTTCTTGATCATTTTCTTTTTGTTCAAAAATTAGGGTTAGGGTTTCATCATGCACATAAAAATAAACCCTGGTAAATGAATCATTTCTCTTTTCTCAAAATGCCCAAGAATATTTGGGTATAAAAATTTAATTAATTATATTTTCATTGTCATTTCTTTGTATAGTGTGTAAGAAATAAAGCATTCGACTTAAAATCAATTGACAATCAACGTATAGACTCCAAATATTTTAAAAATTGACACTCAGCGCAAAGACTCAAAATATTTTAAACACTAACGTAAGTCTTTCATTCTCAACAAACACGATATATCATGACTATGAATATATATACCATCCTTGCCTTCTTCCACCAGCAACTCAAGATTTGCAACTTATTTACCCACTAAACCCATTATTATCTTTATTTTTTTTTACACTATTTGTTAGGTTGAATAAAGTAATTACAACGTACAAATTGCTAGTACAGAAGAATTATTGTCATCATAGTGAAGAATATAATTTGAAGGATTATCATTGACATAGGCAACTCATTATTTTAAGTTGCTTTAGGTTTTGTTAATTTGATACCCCTATATATTACGGTACAATTTTGGGTCAAAAAAACAGACTTTGTTCCCGTTCAAGCATAGAAAATAATGGCATGTTGGGCAAGACAGAGATATATTGTCCCTTGACAAAAAAATGAAGAAGAGAAGTCCAATACAGCGTCAAATTGGTTGCCGACAGGTGACAATCCTTTGTTGCCCTTGCTTCTTTGGCTTGGTTGAGAATTTTGAGAGGGTTCATCATCAACTCACGTGGGGTGCACATGAGTTGAATTATGCATCCAAAAACGCGTTTAATTAGGGGATCAAAGCCATGGTTACTAATATGCTAATTACTATCGATGAAGGAGTAACACATTTACACGTGGTAATGACCCACAACAACAGGACCCCCCTTTCTGTTGTTGCATCATCGTCAAGTATAGAAGATGTGACTTTTAACAAACATAAGGGGAGACAGTAATAACTAATATGAACAAGACCTAGTGACTTATTGGCTAAGTGTCACCGTTTGGGACAGTAAGATGTAAATATGTAAATGATCCACACTAATCATTGTTTATAGTGGTAGTGGATGCAAAATGCGTTTTGAAGGATTTTATTTTTTTAACATGTTATGTTAGAGGAAGAGAAATGTTAAGAGGATTATTTCAAAGTGGAACTTTTCATGCATGAATTTTTTGTCATCTTACAGTTTAATGTTAATTCATGTGCTAACATTATAAAATATTATGCCAAAAACATAAAATGACAGAGAGTCCATAAAAAGTCTTACTTTTGATAATCTCTTTAACATTTTTCGTTAAAGGAATGATTGCATCATAGTAACATTTTCTTTCAACCATTTTGGTTGTCTTTTCATTCTACAATGTTGTGTGGTACATTTTCATTTTTTTTGTCACTCTTAAAATTCAACCAAATTTAAAATCGTTTAGTCATCTAATAATTACACCATGTTTTTCACTTAACCACTAAATTTAACAACGCTAATCGAATGGCTGAATGATTTTTGATGAGAATGAAAAGAAAAAAAAATCCGACAAGAAAGTCTGACTAAGGGCTGGTTTGGTATTACTGTGCTTTGAAAAAAAGCTGCTTCTGCTATGCTGTGAGAATAAGCAGCTGTGAAATAAAAGTAGTAGAGTGTTTGGTAAACTTTTTTGTAAAAGTGCTTTTGAAAAAAAAAAAAAAGCAGTATTATAGTGTTTGGTAAACTTTTATGTAAAACAGATGTGAAAAAAAAGCCGGTTTTTCAAAGCTGGGTTTTGCAGCTTCTTATTTTTGGCTTTTTTCATCCAAAACTGTGAAAAAAAACTGAAGCTGAATGTTTACCAAACACAAAAACAGCTTCCAGCTTTTTTTTTATACCAGCTTTTTCAGAATCACTTCAGTACCAAACTAGGCCTAAAAAGGCCGATAACATCAAAGGAAAAACTCTTGGAATAGTGGGGATCAGATTGCAGATTACTCAAAGATTGCCTTTATTAAGGAAGTACTGCAGCTAGCATCAAACAGAAACGAAAAACGGAAAAGAAGAGATTAAAAATGGCATGTCACCTTGGAATTGTATTTATAAATTCCTTGAGATATTGTGGATTAATCAGTCATTTGCAGCAACCTAAACCTATTTACATTACAATATTGCCCAATGATGGCTATTAGAAAGTAGGAACAGACCTTATGCTGAAATGCTGTCGATTCTCAACGATTATTCGAGAGAGTCAAATTGCCTTAGAGCCATGACAAAAATTTTGGTACAAATACTACAAAATCATTCCTCTCCATGCAACTTAATTAGATTCCAATTTTTCATCTCCACGTAACTACATTACACCACTAATGAGTGTACAATTTTGAATTGATTTACGAGCAAAAGAACAAAAGTTCAAATTAATTCTAAAATTCTGATTACATCAGTTAATTAAATATGTTATAATAGTAAAGAACTTGTAATTTAAGTGATTATAAGTATTTATCTATGCACCTCGCATCGAGCGTTTGATCTCCTCTCCTTTTTTATTCTTCAAGAACAACAAAAAAAAGGCATGATGCTGCATATATAATGACCCAAGTTGCAAAACAAAGTTTGTTGGCTTAAAGTTTGCTATACAGAAAGATGGTCAAAAGCATAAAATTTAAGTGATTATAGTAGGTGACCAAAAAGTTGGTTAAAGCTTAGATTCATTAATTAATAAGATCAGCATACAAATGGACTTCCAACATAATTTTTTCTCTCTCCAATATGGAGAAGATTACATATGGACCAAAAGCAAAAGACTCACCTATCTACTTTGCCTCCATCAAGCTGAAACAAAAGTGATTAGATCAATCCCAACTTGGGATGTTCCCTCCGTCTTGTTCAAACACTGTAGATCTCTCCACCACTTAATTCCTACTAGAGCTACCCAAAATTTATTAACTAATTATCATAATATCCTTCAACTTCTCCTTGGGAGAATTTCATTAGATTTAGAAACTTTTTTTTGTTGCTATGGATATAATTAATAATTTTATTTTTCTCTAGATATTCATGTCCAAAGTGGATCCCACAATGAGCCTAGAGTGGTGGAATCATCAAGGAAGCCTAAGTTGGTCTGGTTGCCGCCGTGAGGAATGGTGGTGACGAAGTTGTGATCAAGTGATTGTGGAGGAGATCCTTGCTCGGAATTAGGTTGTGACATTTCCATGCAAATCAGAGCCACAAGGTTGGCTTGTTGGCATTGCATGTTGACAACCTCAGCCTGTGCCTTTGCTAGTTGTGCTTGCAGCTCATTCACTTGCTTCTGTAGGTGGCAGATTGCTCCTGCACACCCATAAACTGGGTCTCTAATTCTTGCACTTGCCTCATAAACCATGCTGCTCACTGCATCAGCTCTTTGAGAATCTGGAAGTTCCTGTTAAAAAAAAGTGCATGTTACATTTACTTATTATGTCTACAATTAAAAATGGGGTATCCACAGAATTAAGTAAATAATTTTTTTCTGAACTCTCTTGTACGAGATGAGGTTCCGAATAATGTTGGAAAACACATGACCCACTTCATAATAACGAAAATCTTGTACAAAAGCAGCCGAATCACGTATACTATCCGATTGCTTTCACAAAACCACAACCCCTTTATCTATTTGGAATATGCTAAAGAATCCCTACACCTCAAACTTTAAAACAATATTGAGATATATATTTGATTAGATGTTAATTGTGAAGTTTTTCTTCCTTGTCATGTTGTTATCAACATAATTTAGACAAGGACATGCTTAGGGAGACTAAATTTGTAAATTGAATAATGTGATTGTTGGTGATTGTATTATTACTTAACGTTGATTAACGTGCTTATTTTCTATTAGTAACGCATTATTTGATTTAAAATTTTGGTCTCTCTAGATTACCCTTTAGTCAGACTAGTTGATCTCCCTGATAAAGTAGTATCAGGCCAGAGAATATGAAATGAAATTTCCTACCACTTTGGCACGTCTGCGTATTTATTTCTAGTGTCTACGGTGTGTGTGTGAACAACCCCTAAACTTTTCAAATATGGATGCAAACATAATAGTATTCCATGGAAAAATGTTGCCCTTAATTTACCATTTCACATGCGAAATATTTGTTGCAAAAACTACAGAGTCTAGACATGTTTATGTTTTTGTATCAGACTAGTTCTGTGAATATAAATTACACATTTAGATAAGAATAATTGTATCTTTCAAATTCACGTTCGGACAATTAGACGATAATTTGACAAGAGAATACTTTCGTATATGAAATATTTCAAATCCCAAAGTTTTAGACCTACTTTGACTAGTTCTCTTGTTTTGTCCATGAGGAAGAAAATTACCTGCAATAACTTGATGATATTGCTTGCCCCAAAGACACGATGAGCTATAGTAAACTTGGCTGGCTCAGATGGAGGAAAGTAAGGAGCCAAAACGCACTTGTCTGCACATCTTCTCCTCAAGATCTTGCATGCAGCACAAGGACTTACAACAACTGTTGGACTTGGAGTCGGAGTTAGAGTTGGAGGAGACGATGGTGAAGAAGAAGGAGGAGATTGAGACATAGTTGATGAAGTGGTTGTGTAATTTGTGTTCATTGTTTCAGTACTGCACTCCATTGCAGCTAAAGCTTTGAGCCTTGTTTTGGACTTGGTATATGTTTAGAGAGAGAGAGAGAGAGAGAGAGAGAGGTGGGGTTTGTTTGAAGCGCAAAGTGAGGGTATAAATAAGGAAGATGAAGCCGGGGATGAGCCGATGAGGTGTCATATGACGTCAGCTGTTGAATATTATTTTGTATTTAATTAGGCTGCGGCTTCTGCTGCCAATACAATGACTGAATTATATATTTAATTTCTAATTAAGCCGTTAGGTTTGCGTGATTACATTTTTGCTTTTGGATTATTTGGAGAAAAAAAAAAAAAAACTTTTTGCAAAGTTTGAAAATCTCAATCCTCTGTGGAAACCCAGTTCACCGGTACAAAGTTAAGTTTAAAAATCAAAATTAGCCAAATATAAACAATTCAATAATCTCCAATACTGTCCTTCAAACTTAGTATTTTAAGATGCAAATCACTTAAAATTGATCTTGTATTTGTTTGCATGTACAGACAAAATTTTCTTTAGTGCTAAAATTGTTTAGTAATTATGTTAATCAAATTTTACTTAATTTTTTGTTAGTTAAGATAGTGGGAGGTTGGGTTTAGTCAAATGGTTACAGTATAAATTAAGAATTAATACAGAATGAAAACCATGTCAACAAAACTAGGAAAAAATAAATAAAAAAACAAAAACAGTTAATTTCTATTTCTAAAGCCACCCTCGGAATACCCTCTCTTCTTACTGACGGCCCTTGTTCACATGCAACTTTTCTTCCAAACCAGCTAGTGTTTCTACAATTTTAGCTTTAATATCTCATTTTCTGTACCTGGTCGAGCGATTAAGGAACACGTAAGAGGCGGGGAACGCACTTTAAACTGAGACGTCATAGAACAAATTCTCACAGACACAAAAGTTTTGAAATTTATTAAGACAATATAGTTTGTAGACGAATGTACATATTTAATGTCTAAAATTCATGGTGACCTCTGACGAAATGATTTTTTCATGAGCTTTGATTTCTCATGTTTTACTTGCATGAATAGATGGTCGACGATTAAGGAACAAATATGAGACGTGGGATGGACTTTAAACTAAACGCGATTCAAATCTTCATGGATGTAAAAGCATTAGAATTTACTTAAACTTGTAGTCTGTAGAGGGCAATATATATTCAAGGTCTAAATTGAGGGCTTCTCTCCGGTGGAAGCTCGGATTTTCTCCTTAGCCAAAATAGTCTCACAGGAAATTTTGAATTATCGTTTTATGTCTGCAAATCTTTGATTATTGCCTACTTTTGTCAAGTTTAACTTTCTAATGGGAAAACTTGGTCCCTCCCCTTCTCTCCCTCCAATTTTCTTGGACTTCAGTTGTATATAGTACTGTTATTTCAAACAAAATTTTACAATACACAAAAAAGTCATATTTACTTTAAAAGTCACAAACAGGTTTTTTTTAACCAATATGTATTCATCCTATATTCTAAGGGAAAAGGCTTAAGTGAGCACCGATCTTTTAAATATTTCTCACTGTAATACACTTCTTTTAACGACTTACTCACATTATTCTATCATGTGACGATATGACTTTCACAGCTAAAAACTATATATATATATATATATATATATGAAAAAGAGGGAACAAGATCGAGTATTACAAAACCTACAGCTTTTTCTTTCTTGTCTAACATTATTCTATCATGTGACGATATGATTTTCATAGCTAAAAATTATATAGGGAACAAGGGTATTACAAACCTACAGCTTTTCCTTTCTTGTCTACCATATTATGAAATTACAAATTGTGGTTAACCAAAACCCATATCGAGATGGTCAACACTTGAAACAAACTATCATTTAGCCTTTTGCCAGGGTGACATGTGGCAGAGATTGAGATAAACGAGTTAAAAAGTAGATCAGTTTTTTTGGTGAGTGATTGTGCCTGCTGCATACGCTGAGACAGTGCTAGCTTTCTTCTTCTCTAACCACCGCCTAATCACCTACTCATTTCATTGAGAACGACCCAAGAATCCCGATGTAGTTAAAATTTAAAAGCATTCTGCGTGTTTTTCTTGGAGAATGCCATCAATACCAATCTTTTACCCGATCACAGTAAAGATTCTTGTTCAATCAAGCAACAATAGTAAACTCTTTCGCGTAAATGCAAGTAAAGTTTCAGTCTCGCGTAAATTTCATAAGTGTAAGAGAAGAATAACTAATATAATCAGTATATGAAGCAGTTAAGCTACATTGCAATCAACTTATCCCAAATAACTCTTTTGTTTTTAGTTAATTGAGCGAAGATGCAATTTTAATTTCAATAAAGGAGGTGTAAAATGTTTGATATAATGTCTCTTAGGAGAGGCGTTACGGGAAAAATTGCTCATCTTCTGTTTTTCATAATTTTCTTTGTCACGACGTTCTATATAAACAAATAATTCCCTTCTCTGTCACTATGTAGTACAAAGAGACTTATACATGTCTGGCTCTATGAAGTTTCGAGGAAATGAATAGAGATAGGGTGGGGTATGGTTGGTAAGGAGCCGGTCAGCTCGTTATACGCATGAGGTGGGAAAAACTGGAAACTCTGGTAATCTAAAGTCTTAAGCTGCCATTGACGATTGTGATGTCTTCATCTAAGATATAAAAATATTTATTTTAACATAAATATTTCCTTAACCAAATAATTAAAATTATTTTTTTGGTTCTTAATTAATTAATATTTAAGTGACTGATGAGTTTGCCGCCACTTCTTAAACTTCTACTTTGCAGTGGAAGCAGTTGGACTTGTGTTTTTTTCATCCATCTCCATCTCCACCTCACCCCACTGACCGTAGTTTATTTTTTTTCTCTTAAAGAATCTTATGCGTGTGGACCTTAACATATTCCAAAATCTACTTTTATAGTTTGCTAGCTAGCTGCATTGCCACAGAAAGTCCGGATGAAAATAACGAGTTCATATTGCATAGCAAGCTGGCTAATAACCCCATGCAAACAGTAAGCATAAGCAGTTTGGAATTTTCCTCCCATAAATTTATGAAACAATGAATTCATCATTGATTATTGCCAAATGGTTTTCTTTTGTTAAGATAATGCATGCATGCTACTAATAACTTTGTCAAATGTTTGAGAGGAGTTGAAGGGTATCATTTTGATTGCCATAATCTTAAGAATGAAACAAGTACTGTGTATCTGGTACAACGTGTAACAAGATGATATATTGTATGGAAATCACAAGAAATATAATTTAAATATTAGGGATAGAGGTTGGATTTAATATAACAAAAAACTTACTATAAAAGCACTAAAAGTCCATCAAAACCCAGACTTTTTAAAATCCTTTAAACCCAATGAAATCTTGAATACACTTGGATTTTTGTAGACTCACAAAAAGTCATAACTGAATACCATAAGATTTTCATAGACTTTTTAGAAGTCATAAAAAGTCTTTATTCAATACAGTGTGACTTTTATTGATTCCTTAAAAGTCTATATTGAATAAACCTGAATTTCAGAATCAAGCAAAATCCATTAAGCTTCATATACAATGCACCCTCTAAGACTTGTGTTTTCTTATGCATTTCGTGGAAACCCAAATTTTACTAAACTGAGCAAAAATATGACAGAGGACGACGAGAAAACAACTTCAAACTCAACCGAATTTGTATATGCGTGCTACAAATGGACTCTACGCACATACATGCATGTTAGGAAAGGAAACAACTTCGAACAGTCCCTTCGCAAAAAAACCTAACCAAAATATATGAATGTGTGTTTCACGAAGATGTGGAGATTAGATACATGCATGGTATCAAAGGAAAGTTATATATATATATATATATATAGAAAGCATTGCATCTCTGTTTTTGTACTTACAAATTAATTTGATAGGTATTGATGCTAATTTTTAATAAAATCTACAAAAGGGATCATAGATCGAGTGCTTGTCCCATCAAATTATTATTTGAAAGAATTGAAAACTGTCCAACTTAATTAGCAATTTTTTTTTTCAATAGTATGTCACATTGAATGTGTGAGGATGTGAAGGTATAAAAGAGTCCTATATTGATGAAAGAAGAAAACTTGTAAGGGCTTATAAGAGGTTAGGCTACTCCCTATATAGCCAATTGGTTTTATGGTGAAACCTCAACTTTTCATGAGATCAAAGCAAGTAGTCTCACGTGTGAAGCCCAACGACCACACACGCTCCACATCAACCCATTTGTGTTGCCTATGTGCTAGGCTTGAAAAGTGGCCACACGTGAGGGGGCGTGGTGATAATGAGTACCACATTGATGGGAAGAGAGACCTTGTAAGGGCTTATAAGTGAGTTTGGCTACTCCCATATTTCCAATTGGTTTTATGGTGAAACCGCAACTTTCTTCATGGTGTAAAAGTAAGTTGTCCCATGTGTGAAGCCTAACGGCCACATGTGCTTCGAGTCACCCTATTGTGTTGTCCACATGTTAGTCTTCAAAATCACTATACGTGAGGGGCGTGTTAAGAATGAATCTCACATTGATAAGTAGTTGGGCTACTCCTCATATTGCCAATTGGTTTATGGTGGAATGTTAACTTTCTCCACCCACATTGGTGAAAGAAGAAACCTTGCAAGGGCTTATAAGAGGTTGGACTACTCCACATATTGTGCCAATTGAATTTATGATGAAACCTCAACTTTCTTCAAAGTGATACAGAAAAAGGAATGACGAATATTGAAAATAGAAGATTTAATAGATACATATATCAATCTAACGGCTAAAACACTTGTATTACGTAGCATTAAAGTCACACCCCTTAATTAGAGTTTAGAAACAGTGGATTATTGCCAAGGGGAAATGTCCTCATCATCCATTACACTAGTCATGGTGGTCGTAAGAAGAATCTCCTAGGTGCACTTGTGCAATACGGCATTGGTACTTTGAGCATTCAATTAAACCTCATTTTCCTAGCTCTTTTTATACATTCAAAAATAATTAAGTTGATTTTTCTTAGGTTGCATACTTCATAATTAAATGCAATTTCAACGTGAAAACTGTAATGATTTTGTGGTTCTTTGACATCATCCGACGAACCAGATTAATTTCATCCATGGGCATTCCATAAG